CCATGGACCACATGAGCAGTGAGGAATCCTCATTATTTCTACCCTCTCTTTCCTACCACCCTGGTGAGAGGTTGGTGCTTCATTGCAGGTTGCCAGTGACAGGGATGTGAGCTCCCCATTAGCCCTTTTGGACATGAGGGATATTGAGGGAAGAATATATGGCTACAGTTTTTTGTTGTTTGTTTTTTTGTGTGTTATTTTCTGAAACATGGAGGTTATTGTCTGAACATTTTCCCAAGAAATTTTCTTTGTCTGCTAGAAGAAGATAATATGTTTAAGATGTTGTGACTTAAACTCTGTTCCACTGTTCACAGTACTGTCAAGGTTCAAGTGTTAAGACCAAAAAAAAAGAACCTCAGGTTCAGGGCCAAAGAGTTCAAATCACTGTTAGACAAATGTATTTTGGCATAAGAAACAGCATTGTACTTTGAGTCAGAAAATATATCTGATCAAAGGATCTGGCTCCTAAATTCTCTAATTTAAGTGTGCAAGTAATAAGAATGTTTAGGTTGGGATTTCTTGTTTTGTGGTGGATTGAACTCCAAGTCTTGTAAATTAGGCAAGTACTCTACCACTAACCTATATTCTCCGTCACTGAATGTTGTGGGAATCTGTTTTTTCTTTCTGGTTTTCTCTAGCCCCCAGACTCCTTGCTGTTTTGTTTAGATGGTGTGTTAAACTAGAGGACTCCCTTAAGATGATATTTAGCTCATTTATCTTTCCTTTGATAATCTTACTGAATACTGCTTACTGGCTTGCTTCCCATGATTTGCTCAGCTACCTTTCTTATACAGACTGACACACCTACTCAGAGGTGGCACCACACACAGTTGGTCCCTCTAACATTAACTGACAATCAAGGAAATAACCCATAGACATGCCAACAGACAAATCTGATGGAGGAAAGTGTCCACCTCTTCCCAGGTGTGTCACGTTAACAACCAAGATTAGCTATCACAGTAGGTTTTATTGAATCTCAAATATTGGACGAATGATGAGAGTACTTACTTAGCAAATAGACGTCTTTGGTTCACTTATACATGTTTTGTAAAAGACACTTAGTTTTGAAAATATCTATTTTCTATAGGATTTTGGCAAGTGCAGAATGTTACATGGTACAAATGTACTTGTGAATTATTAAAGCAACACAGAATTTAATGACTGAGGCTATTTATTGTTTTAAAATTTTTTATTTATTTTATGTATATGATTGTTTTGCCTTCATGTGTATATGTACACCATGTGTGTGCAATGCTCACAGAGGACAAAAGGACATCAGATCCCTTGGAACTGGAGTTACTGATAGTTGTGAGCTGCCATGTGGATGCTGGGAACTGAACCCAGGTCCTCTGCAAGAGCAGCCAGTGCTCTTTACCACTGAGCCATCTCTACAGCCCCTTTATTTGTTTTAGAAACCTAAATTTACAAATAATTTTACGTTCTATAGTCTTTTACATTGTTTTGTTTTGTTTTGTTTGTCTTTTTGAAGCAGGGTCTCCCTGTAGCCCCAGCTGTCCTGGAACTCACTATGTAGACCAGGCTGGCCTTGAACTCACAGAGATCCACCTGCCTCTGCCTCCCGAGTGCTGGGACTACAGGCGTGTGCCACCACGCCCGGCTCTACATTGTATTTTTATGTCTATGTCTAATTCTGCAGTAGAATATTAAGTATACACTCACATATGTTTATATGATGTTCCTGTCTTCCATTATTTTTTCTCATCGTACTCCCTCTTTTTCATCTTGCCTCCCATACTTTGGTGCAGTCATCCATATTTTCCTCCATATAATAGTCAAGTGTGTTTACACAAATGTGTAGACATATAAGAATCTGAAGAAGCATGATTTTATTTTAAAATTTTTTCATTTGTTACTTAAACTCATGGAAACATTAAGTTATTGCTATACATCTACGTCAATGATGATTTAATATTTCTCAATGTAGGTGAATCATCAATAATCACTCCATTTTCTCTTATTAGACATTCTGTTGTTAGCTGATATCTCTATAAAATTAGTAAATAGTCATGCACATATAAGCACATCATATCTATACACATAGCTACAAATACATTCTAATTCTCTTATGGGTAGGGAAAAGGTTATATATTTTAATTTTAATAGGTCTTCTTAGACTGCTTTGCCACAAAGCTGTAATGGACTACTTCACATTTTCACCCCCAATTTAAAGAGCGCCTTTTTTTTCTGACAGAAGTGCATGTTATTAGGTTTTTTAAATTAACATTCACATGATAGATTTTTAAATCATATCATGATATTACTTGAATTCGCATTTCTTTAACCTTTAGAATGTGGGCTTCTTTTCTTGTTACTTGGCCGTGTGGATTTATTCGTTTGGATTGCCTATTCATGACCTTTACTTATTTTTTTCTGTTGGTTGCTTAGCCTCCTGTCAGCTTATACAATCTCTTTATGTAATCTCCTTGTCAGTCTGTTTGTCCTCTGAATTGCAGATATTCTTTCCAAGTTTGTTGTCTCTTGGTGTTCATCCCATATTTTATATTCTTTATGGGTCTAAGTTAAATTTCTTTTTCGTGTAAATAGCACATGTAATTATTAAATTAATTTTGTGAGATTTTTCTAAGTCCATTTAATATTTTTTTATTTTTATTTTATGTGTATGCCTGTATTGCCTGCATGTAGGTAAGTGCACCTGTGTCGTGCAGTGCCCGCAGAGGTCAGAAGAGCCTGTTGGATCCCCTGGAACTGGAGTTACAGACAGTTGTTAGCTGCCATGTGGGTGCTGGGATTTGAACCCGGGTCTTCTGCAAGAATGGTCAGTGTTCTTAACCACTGAGCCACCTCTCCAGCTCCCTAAGTCCATTTAAAAAATTCGATTCTCGGGGCTGGAGAGATGGCTCAGCAGTTAAGAGCACTGACTGCTCTTGCAGAGGACCTGGGTTCAATTCCCAGCACCCACATGGCGGCTACGAACCATGCTTAACTCTAGTTCCAGGGGAATCCGAAGCCCTCTTCTGACCTCCACGGCATTGCACGACACAGGTGCACTCACATACATGCAGGCAATACGCTCATACACATAAAAAATAATAAATAAGCCGGGTGTGGTAGCATACGCCTGTAGTCCCAGCACTTGGGAGGCAGAGGCAGGCGGATCTCTGTGAATTCAAGGCCAGCTGAGGCTACAGGGAGACCCTGTCTAAAAAAGACCAAAATAAAATAATAATAATAATAATAATAATAATAATAATAATAATAATATTTTAATTCAATTCTCTTTTCCATCTGGAATTTATTTTTGTGTATTATTATAACATTGAGTCTAGTATTCAAATAAGTATTCAATTTTTTTGGCATCAACTAAATCCTTTTCCAACAGAATTGAAATATTTATAAATTGTCTCTTCTAAAAATGTGTCTTGTGTTGATTTCCTTACATTATAATATGTGCATGCACATACACAAATACTGGGTGATAAAAATGTGATTATGAGGCTGAGGAGTTGGCTGATGAAAAATGGAACAGCTTCTCAGCATTGTTACCAATGAGTGTAATTCAGTAGAGAACAGAACTGAGAACTATTTATAATCGTGTGCTTGAAGAGGTATTGTTAGGCCATCTCATCATTGTAGGAACATCATTGGGTGTGTTGACACAAACTAAGATAGCTGCTGTGTCACTGGTGATGAACTCTTCTGGATCCACTGTAGTATATGCAGTATTGGAAATATCTTTATGAAGCATTTTACTGTATTGGTAACTACTGATGCTCCTAGATTAAATTTGCTCACTGTAAAATATTGAAAAGATAAATATATTCCACTTATGAAGATGCATTTTTTTAAAATTTTTATTATTTTTATTTTATGTCTGTGAGCATTTGGCATGCATGTGTGTAAGTGCACCTGTGTTGTGCTATTCCCACAAAGATCAGAAGAGGGCATTGGATCCCCTGGAACTGGAGTTATGGACAGTTGTTAGTCACCATGTTCACCCAGGTTAGTCACCCAGGTTCTCTGCAAAAGCAATCAGTGCTTTTAACCACTGAGCCATCTCTCCAGTCCCCCCCCTTTTTAAATTTTTATTAATATCTGCTTTTTTAAGATATATTTTTTAAAATTTTATGTGTATGAGTGTATTGCCTACATGTATGTAAGTGCATCCATGTCATACAATGCCTGCGAAAGTCAGAAGAAGGCATTGGATCTCCTGGAACTGGAGTTACAGATGGTGGTTAGCTGCCATGTGGAACCAAACCCATGCACATTGCAAGAGCAGCCAGTGTTCTTAACTGCTGAGCTATCTCTCCAACCCCCAAATGTGAAAACGAACTCTCATTCTGTTAAGTTACTTGCTCAGTGTTGTATAGCTGATAGGTGATAAGAGTAAGATTTAAACTCCAGGAGCTAGAGAGGAAACTTGTTAAGAGTGCTTCCTACTTCTAACCAGAGAACTGGAGTTCAGTCATTCCCCAGCACCCATGTCAGCCAACTCAAAACTGCCACTCTAGCTCTGAAGGATCTGATGTCCTCTTCACACATATGGCATACACAAACACACACACACACACACACACACACACACACACATAAATAAATCTTTAAAAAAACAAAAACCCACTAAACTCTTTCCAGTATGCCAAAATGAATTTCTTTGCTGAAAGGCACTTTGAAAACTAAAGTTATATACAAATTGATTCAGTGATCATGTCGTCTAAGTTTTGTTTTTAAATAATGCAATGATTGGGGTGGGGATTTAGCTCAGTGGAGAGTGCTTGCCTAGCAAGCGCAAGGCTCTGGGTTCGGTTCTTAGCTCCAAAAAAAAAGACAAAATAACAAATAATGCAATGATTAACGCACAGTTGAGCTTATTGCTTATAACAAAGCTATTCTGTTTTGATAAAGGAACATTGCTATGTGTTCTTCCAAGATACAGTGTATGAATAAAATGTAGAATATTTGCAGTTCTCTTTATCCTGAACAAATCTCAATAATTGGTTCTTTTAAATATTTTTTAGAACAAAAGAAAGTTAAAAAACCAAAACCTGAATTTCCTGTATATACGCCTTTAGAAAATACATATATCCAGCCTTATGCTCATGGAACTTCTATAGAAGAAATTGAGGAGCAAATGGATGATTGGCTGGAAAGCAGGAACAGAACACAGAGAAAGCAGGTAATTAATTTTAATTTGATTTGAGGTTCTGGAGATCAAACCTAAAGCAATTACACTCTAAGCAAGGACTCTGCCACTGAACTATATCCCTACCTTTGGGGTTTGAGATGGGCTATTTTGTTGTTGTTTTGAGATATGGTCTCATTGCATAGCCCAGGCTGGCCTGAAATTTGTGACCCTTTTGCCTTTGCCCCCAACATACTGGGGTTGCAGGCTGGCACCATCATACTGGGGGTAAGTAAATGTGTAAAACTTGTTTTAATCGAGTAAACCATGTAAAGAAGTGTACGTCAAATATAGTTATGCAATATAGTGAACTATCATAAAGTGAATCATGTTTAATAATTGCTAATGTTAAGAACTAGAATATTGGGGCTGACAAGATGGCTTAGAGGGTAAAGGTGGTTGCCACCAAGCCTGAGGACCCTAGTTCAATCCTTCAAACCCACATAGTAGAAGGAGATAACTGACTCCTGCAAGTTGTCCTGTGACCCCCACACTTCTGTTATGGCATATATATGCTCTGTTGTCAACAGAAGCACAAATTAAATAAATGCATTTTTTTGTGTGTGTGTGACAGGGTCTCCCTGTAGCCCCAGCTGACCTGGAACTGGGTATATAAACCAGGCTGGCCTTGAACTTGCAGAGATCTGCCTGTCTCTAAATGCTTTTTTTTATTATTTTCTTTTTTTAATATTTTACTTATTTTTATTTTATGTGTATGCGTGTATTGCCTGCATGTAGGTAAGTGCACCATGTCCTGCAATTCCTGTGGAAGATGACAGAAGAGGCTGTCGGATCCCTTGGAACTGGAGTTATGGACAGTTGTTAGCTGCCATGTGGGTGCTGGGATTCGAACCCGGGTCTTCTGCAAGAACAACCAGTGTTCTTAACTGCTGAGCCATCTCTCCAGCCCCATAAAGGCTTTTTTAAAAAAGAAACTAGGATAAAACAAACAAACAAACAAACTAGACTGGAGAGATGGTTCAGTGGTTAAGAGCACTTGCTGCTCTTGTAGAAGACCAGGGTTTGTTTCCCAACACCCACATGGTGGCTAACAACCATCTGTAACTCCAGTTCCAGGGAATCCTTTGCCCTCTTCTGCCTTCCACAGGCATTGGCATGTACATGGTGCACTTATATATATGAAGGCAAAACAGTCATAGACAAAATGTGAAAAATAAATGAAATTTTAAAACTGAAAAGGGAGGGACTGGCTCAGTGGTTAAGAGCATGGGCTGCTCTTGCGGAAGACTGGGTTTGGTTCCCAGCACCCACATGGCAGTTCACAAACATCCTTAACTCCAGTTCCAAAGAATCTGATGCCCTCTTCTGACCTCTGAGGGCATTGCATGACAAGAGTGCACTTACTCACATGCAGGCCATACACTCACTCATACGCATAAAATAAAAATAATAAAAATGTTTTTTGGAAAGATTATAGAATAACATATGGAAGAATTGCTGCAGATTATGCTCAGTTCTTTTTTGTATTTTGAGACAGGGTCTCACTATATATCTCTGGCTGGCATAGAGTTCACTTTGTAGATCAGACTATCCTAGAACTCATAGAAATCTGCCTACCTCTGCCTCCTGAGTGTTGGGATTAAAGACATGCACCACTACTCCTTGCCTACCCAGTTCTTTCTTAGATGGATTGTATTGGGTAAGATAATAGTAAAATCTCCTAATCATGAACTAATACTCCTTGACTGTTGTGCTAGCTTGTTTTCTCTTGCTAGCCAGCATTTGCTAAAGTCCCTTAGTAACTTCTCACATACATATTCATTTCCCAGTTCATGTTTCATTCCTGTTGTCAGTAATTGACAACTCAGTGATAACTGTACAAGTAATGGTTTCCAGTGTGACTTGTCCACACCTGCATTTCTCATGCTTGATCAGATCCCTCCCATCCTGCCCTTTCTCCCCACTGCCCTTGGCCTCCTCCTGCTTTCATAATGTCCCTCTACTTTCAGTTCATCTTTTTCTTTCCTCTCCTTAGTTTCCACATATGAAAGAAAACATGTGACACTTGTCTCTCTGTATCTAGCTTATTCCATTTAGTGTCATGTCCTCCAGTTCCATCCATTTTCCTGGGGATGACATGATTTCATTCTTTGTGGCATTTATATTTTCCTTATCCATTCATACGGTGCAAGTACTTAGGCTAGGTTTATATCTTGGCTATTGTGAAAAGTGCTGCAGTTAACATGAATGTGCAGGTATCTCTATTGTATGCTGACTTTGATTCTTTCATTGAATATACTGAAGAGTGATGTGATGGTTAGTTTTCATTGTCAACATAATCTAAACTACCTGGGGAAAGCGTTTCAATAAAGGATTGCCTAGATCAGGTTGGCCTGTGAGATATTTTCTTCATTGATAAGTGGAGGTACCTGTCATGAATGTGGACAGTACTATTTCCTGTAAGAGTAGGAAAAAAGCAAGCTGAGCAAATAAATACCCAGGCCTTCCTTGCTCTCTGCTCTGACTGTGGATGTTAGGTAAGCTTCTTCAAGTTCCTGTTGCCTTAACTTCCTAGCAACCATAGACTGGAGTCTAGAACTGTGAGCTAAAATAAGCCCTTTTCTCCCTAAATTACTTTTTGTCAGGGTATTTTATCACAGCAGAAGAAATGAAGCCAGGACACATGATGTAACTGTATTAGGTGGTAATTCTATTTTTTATATGTTTGGTTGTGGTTTGTTTTTGTTTGTTTGTTTAGACAGGGTCTCACTCTATAGCTTTAGCTGACCTAGAACTCAAACTCAATGTGTAAAATAGGCTAGCCTGAACCTCACAGAGATCTACCTGCTTCTACTTCCTGAGTACTGGGATTAAAGGTGTGCACTAGCACATCCAGTTGTATTTTTAGTTTTTTGAGAACCTCTTGCCTCTGCCATCTGCATACTTGTATCACAGACTCTTGGCTCACCATTTATGAAGTTTTGCTTTTGTTTCCTGAGCTATTACTTTTTCAGAAAATCATTGCCTGGGCCAGTATAGAAGTATTTCTCCTATATTTTGTTCTAGTGGTTTCAGAATTTCTGGTCTTGCATTAAGGTCTTTAATTCATTTTCAGTTGGTTTTTGTATAGGATGACAGGGGTCTAGTTTCAATCTTCTGTAGGTTGGTACTCAGTTTTCCGAGCATATGTTTTTGGTACCTTGCTGTCTTGGAAGAAGTCCCATATGCTGATGAAGAGAATGGGCATTGTAAGGCTGCAGGGTAAAATATTTTGCAGATGCCTTTTAAGTCCATTTCATCTGTAGTGTAACTTTGCTGATGTTTCTTTGTTGATTTCTTCTGGGAACGGGGGTCAGGATGGTCAGTGGTGAGAGTAAAGTTTTGAAGTCTTCCAACTATTACTTTGGCCTGTTTCTTCCTTTGTGTCCAGTAGAATTTTATGTAACTAGATGTTCGAATGTTCATTATACGTTCTTAGTGAATATACCTTTATCAGTATGTAGTGGCCTTCTTGTCTTTTCTGATTTTGGCTTAAAGACTGTCCTATCAGATGAGAGTGCCACTACTCCTCCTTGCTTTGGGATTCTACTTGCATTTCATCCTTTCCTTGCTTTGGGATTCTACTTGCATTTTATCCTTTCACTTTCAGCCTTTATCTGAAACAAGTTCCCTGAAGGCAGTATATTGTCAAATTTTTTTTAATACAGTCAGCCTACATCTTTTAGTTGAAGAAGTAAGACTATTTACATTTAGAAGTATTGTTGAAATGCATGCTTTGTGGTTTACTACATAGATAGTGTTTGGTTTTTTTCTTAATTCTCAATTATTGCTTTCATGATTGTTCTTTCTTCTGGTTGCAAGATTTTAAGTATCTTCTGTGGTTTAGGGACCATAATCCTTTTAGTTTGCATTTATCTTAGAAGGTCTTTATTTTTCCTTTGATTCTGAAGGATAACCTCGCTGGGTTTAGTAGTTTATGTTAGCAGTTACTTTCTTTTAGGAACTGAAATATTAATATATCATTCCGTGCCCTTCAAACCAATGAAGTTTCTACTGAGAAATCTGTTACCTAATGAGTTTGCTTTAAGTGTGACTTGATGGGTACCTCTTGCAGTTTTTAGGGCTTCTTTGTTCTGTGCTTGTGGAACCTTTAACCATAATGTGTACTGGAGAATTTCTTTTCAGTTTCCATAAAAAATCCTGCTGGGACTTTGGTTGAAATTGCAGGAAATTGCAGATCCCCCAGGATCTACCCTTCTCCACCCCTCCCCTGCCCTGGGATTACAGGCTTCCACCACATGCCCCACCTTTATGTCTGTGCTGGGGATCTGAACTCAGGCCATTATGTTTGCAAAACAAGCTCTTTACCACTGAGCTTTGTATGTCCCCAGCCTCTAGTTCATTCTTGATCTTGTTAAGTATTCAGTCTTTTCACCGCTAACTATGGTAGTAATGCTAAGCTTTTCTCAGATACTCTTAATCAAGATGAGGAAGATTCTTCTATTTATGATTTACTGTAAGTTTTAATCATAAGCGAGTGTTAAGATTTTTGCCAGTTTACTTTTCCACATCCAATAGGATTATGTGTTCTTTCTCTTTTACCTGCTAATGTAGGGAATTCTGTTGATTAGTTTTTTAAAGTGTTAAATCAATTTTGAAATCTAGAGATAAAGCCCACATTTATATGTAGTGGATTTTTAATACAGATTTTCTTTTTAGTTTGTGTGTGTTCATAATTTTATTTTAGCATTTTTAGACTTGTTTGTATTTACAGGTGTATGTGTATGTTTATGTGAATGTATACCATATAGTGTGAGCATGCCTCCCTGCAGAGACCAGAGGAGGGTGTCAAATCCCCTGGAGTGGGTATTACAGGCAGTTGTAAGCCACCAAACATGGGTACTAGGGACCAAACTCAAGTCTTCTAGAAGAGCAGGAAACACCCTTTACAACTGAGCCACCTGTCCAGCCCCATTGCTATAGCATGGTTATTTACTTTTTATATAAAGTGAGGAGAACCTTATAGAATGCAT